TCCTCACTTCCATTATCCAAATCTTCAAGAAATGTTTTTACATTATCCTTATTTGTTTCTTTTAAATAAATGTTATCTAGTTCATAACTAGTTTTAGCTTGTTTATTTGTATTTGTATTATTACATCTTTCTTCTAGTTTTTTAAGTTTAGTTAATTGGTGCATACAATGTAATTCTTCTCGTAATTGACATATAGCAAGAACTTTATCATTATTTAATCGATTTCTTTTTTGTGAATGAAAAAAACTCATTGAACTAAATAGTCACTCAACAGATGCAGTATTTACTGCAACTGCAAAAATATGACATGCAAGTTTTGGTAACTTGAATTGGGAATTTGATGCTACAAATTCCCAATAATTAAGTATATTGCCTTTAAAATTATTAAATATAGTTATATTAAAAGGATATAGTTGTTTGCAATACATATCAAGCTTATAAAGAATAGAATTAGGTGTATTTCCAAACCAAGCAGAATAATAATAAATTATTTATTCTCCTAAACTAACATAGTTAATATTAGCTCTAAATTTAAACTTCTCATGATGATAATTAGGATAAAGCAAAAATAAAAGAAGTAGTAAAGGTTGTTTCCATATTTTTTATTGTTGTTCAAGATGATTAATTATAGTTTCTCGAAAGTTTAAATTAGTTGAATTTTTAACAACTTTCATAAACCAACTGAAACAATGTAATATCTTAAAAAGTCTTGCATTATCCATTGCAATTTATCAAGACCGAAACAAAAAAGTAGAAGAATTTCTTTTAACTGAAATAAATTAGACCAAAAATTTTCATTTTTTAATATAGTAATAATATTTTTAGGAAGAAATTTTTTTTCTGCTTTTAGTTTAATAGAAGTATTATTTATATTATATTTTTCAACGAAGGTCTATAATATAATATTATTTATATATATTAGTATATAATTTTTTAAATTATAAATAAATTTTAATGTATATGTAATATAGTTATATACTTGTAATGCTATTTTTGATTTAAAAATACTATCAAAGCAATAGTAATATGAGTTCCATTGAGTTTTACCAAGACGAATTAATGCAGAACATTTTTCATTATAGGCCAATACTTGTTCATATCGAAAGTGTTCAAGCCAAAATATTGATGAATTAAAAAAGGAAAAAATTGACCATGAATTTGTTGATGCCTTAATATAATCAGGATTACTTTTAAAAATATCTGCTATACATAAATTTGCTTGATGAGCAAAACATAGTAAATATAATAAATTTTGTCTTTGTAATTGAAGTCTTTGTCTTAAAAATAAATATATATAAATTATATAAATAAATAGTATTAATATATTTGTACGTATATATAAAATAATTATATATAACTTAACCTTGCAGTTGCATTTTCTGATGCAGAATCAGTAACAAAGGCAAGTATTTTAATATTTTGATCTGCTGCTTTTTGAAAAAGTTTTTCATAATGCTTAATTGCCTCTTCTGTTCATTCACTTGAAAGGCTAATATCTTCTGAATTTCAAACTAATACATCTGCTTTTGATATAATAAATATAATTCCTAATAATTTTTGTTTAATTATATTTTTCCAACTATCAAAAGCTATAGTTACACTATGTAAATCTTGTTGTGTCATTGAAATTTGTGCTTGTGTGATTTTTTTTGTAGCATCCTTCAAAATTTGACCAGATAATGTTTGACAACTTGGTAATTGAATAAATCTACTAAGCCATAAAAAAAAAGCTTTTGTTTTAGGATTATTAACCCACTTAAATGCCTAACCATTTGATACTATCATACAAAGAAGCAACATTTTAAATATATATTGATCATTATCACTAAGTCGTTAGATTAAATTTAAATTTGGATTGGGATTTGTAACAGTAATAAAGTTAAAGCTTGTTACAAATGATTGTGAAGAATCACTATCATTAGTACTATTACAATTAATTTCTTGTGAAACTGGTTGATTTCATTTTAATATTTCTTTTTTTTTTAATACAGCAGTAGATACAAGAATTTGATCTATTTCTTCAGGTAAATATTTATTTGCAAATATTTTATATTTCTGAAAATATGCTAAGCAAGAATTTACAACATTTGTAATCTTGCTAGTTAAACATGCCTGTTGAAAACCAAAATAATTGATGCAATATTTGCAAACTGTGGCCTTGTTAATACTATTGGCTTTCTCATCTAATACAAGAAAATGTTTACTTAAACGATGTTTGGGTCTACCACCTAAGTGTGACATGATAAAAAATACAAAATTTGATAAAAAAGTTTTTTGATATTTTTTAAACTTCGATTATTATCTAATAATGGTAGCTAACAATATTAAATGCATACTGTGCCATATTAAATAATATTAAATATATACTGTGCTATACTAAACAACTAAACAACCAATAAACATTGTTTATTTGTTTATTTGTTCATTAAATTTAGTAGACAATGTTTATTAACAACACTGCATTACAGGACCTACCAATATGGGTTACTCTACAAATTTATTACAAAGTCTCAAATTACAGAACCTCTGTAAACAAATACAACACCTAGGTATTATCATCTATGATGCTAATAGTACTATTCTTATTTTTTATATGAAAACCTCATATATATTTTCAACAACCTGTAATGATAATCTATTGACAAAAATAAAAATAAATCTATTCAACAATGTACCAAGTTAGATTTTTCCTGTAATTGTACTAATGATTATCACATTAATATAGAAAAATTGCTATTGTAATATGGTTGCTTAACCTAACTAGATTCTAAATATTTGTTTAATAAATATGTTGTCGCTAGTCAAATCAAGCAAGAATATTACTTGACTTAATGTGAATGAGTGGTTAAGAAATGTGTTTTTTAAAAAAAAAATATAAGTTGTATTCCTAAAACTAAAATAAAAATAACTAAAATAACTAAGAAATAAACTAAAACA